AAGAAGAAATATTTGATGAGAATGCAGGTGTTTTTCCTTCAGAGGAACCAAAGATGGAAGTGGACCAGGAGGAAGCCAAGGAGGAGTCAACGCCACACTTTCTGTCAAGAGAGATAGGTGAGGACTCGGCTGCATCGCACTTACCATCAGGTGAGATGGATGCTAACCTTGATGATACTCCACGTCTGCCGAAATCTAAGAAAAGCCGCCTGAATAAAATACCTGATCCTCATTTTCATGAAGAAGTTCAGGATGATGCAACCATGGAAGAGAAGAAAGAGGCGGTGGAGAAAATAAAAGAGGTCAGAGAGGATGATGGAGAGAAGAAATTGGAGGCTGAAATCCAGGAATCTTTTCCATCTGAAGTAGTTGCTGAAAAGGATACAACAAAAGTTGACAATACCTATGAGTTGCATACTTCACCTTTGAAGTTGCTTGGAGAGCTTACAGGAGATCCAGGTATTGGCTTTTATCAACTATGCTTCAGGGAAACTCACGCGAGATTGCTGAACCATGTTTGTTTCAGAAAAGGTGAGATTTCCCATCCTCATTATCAGTCGAGGATCAACGAGAATGATTTTGTTCGATCCATTCGTAATATCTGTCCAGTACCTCCACCTGATTGTTATGAACACGAACCAGAGCATGATTTGAAGAGATTCTTTATCAATGATGATCGCATCATTCATTTGGATGGCAAGTATCAGGTCGATCCAAAGGCCCTTGAAAGGGCAAAACATGCTCGAGAAGAATTGGAGGATACGAAGAAGGAACTTAAGAAGGAACTGGAATCATATGGTCCTAAGGGACCCAGTTGGGACTTTGTCACCTTCTATGAAGAGCTGTGCAGAAGGTTCCTCAAGGGAAGAATAGAAGAACCATATGGAACTAACTTATTGGCCAGCTCAGAGTCCTTGACATTTTTATCCTGGAACTATGGCAACATGGTTCGTGGTCAGAAGTACACCACACCAAGGTTTCTCCAAGGACTTGATAGTGCAATGAGGCCACGCAAACAGAGCGCCATGTCACTTCAGAATGAGCAATTTGAGAACAACCTTTTCTTCAACATGCTCTTCTTTTTACGTGCACATGTCGTGATTCTCCAGGAAGCTCATCTTCTTGTTCCTGCCAAGGAATTTATTGAGCAAAAGAATTGGACAGTTTGTTTCAATGATTGGGAGAATCTTGCAGTGATGGCTAGATTGGCACCAGGTGGATATGTCAAGATCATTGCTGGACATGATCAAGAACTTGGTCACTGTGAACAGCGTGATGTAACTTGGGCTATCTACGAGATTTGTTTTGGAGAAACAAGGCCTCGTCAAGATTTCAAGGATGCAGGACTTTGAATTTGATGACTATGGTCCTGAGGACAAGCGTGTTCCACTTACTCGAGCGAACATGCATACCATCAGAGTCTGTAATTATCATGTTGATACACACCGTGCTGTGGATGCCCACCTACTGACAGGAGAACAGACAGCATTGATGCTTTACGAGTGTTTTGTCTATGAGGTGGACATCATTTCTGGGCCAATGGCTAACTACTATTACAGCACCATGCAGCATTGGATCCGCAGTTTTTCAGAAGCTCGTGTAAACGCAGATCCTGGTATCAAAGCGCCTATTCCCAGAACATTTTACAGTTCAACTTCACAGGTCCTCAAGAAGTGTGAAGTTTACTTTGATAAACTCTGGGAAGAATATTCTACTGTTGAAAAAGAAGAATACCAAGGATCACAGCTTGGCGATACATGTTTGTCTACCATTGTTGAATGGGGTCATTCAATGAGTGAAGAGGAATATGAAAATTCCACAGTGAGCACGAAGGAGTTCATCTGTAATTTTTCAGAGAACTTTGCTATGATTGACACGGAGGTTATGTGCTCAAGGCCCACTGACGAGGACAGTCATGGTCCAATGTTTATTTCACTCAGACCAGCTTCCTTTTCATCTGGAGACAGAAGACAGTATCGCATGGGAGCAACGCTTCATGAGGCGAACGTGCGGAGGAAGGAGAGACAGAAGCAGAATAGAAAGAAAGGAAGGCCGCCAACTTCTGATCAAGCAGCTTCATCGTCTGCAGCGGCATAATTCCTGAGCGAAGGCTGAAATTTAAATGATGGCTAGGAAGTGAAGATACTTCTGGTTACAGTTGATACTTTGCTTCCAGGCTTGACTTTAAGTTGCCAGGCTGAAGTTTTAATAAATTCTGGTTTGCAATGAGGAGAAACTTTTTATCAAAGAAGATACTCCTGCATTCCAGGTTTATACGCTTTAGCATGTAGATAGGTATGGACAGTTTTGCATAACTGATGATATCTATTACAGCCGCTTTTTCTGAGATGACCTCTAATGGACAACCAGTCATGGTTGATGATTAAGTCATTTCATGATTTGCAATTGTAGTGCAAGATTTTTTTGTACATACATTTGCCGGTATCTCCTTCTTGTGTTTTTGATGTGAATGTGAAAGAGAGTCCTTTTGATGCAGTTTTATTTTGTTTGTGGATGAAAGCGGTCGAGACCACGTCACGAGAAGATTATTCCTCGGACCGTACGCTCCTTGCATTTTGCAAGGCATCCTAATTCATTGCAATTTGTGCGGTCTTGAATTTTTAGTTCTTCGTTACGCGAGTGTCGTTTGATTCTTTTATAGGTCTCTGTAGAGAAAAAGCCGCTTTCCCTTTTTAGTTTGATTTAGCTCAGGCCATAAAGAGCTAGTGAGCGCCGGTACATGGTATCTCCGCCTGTGAAAAATACAGTCTCCAGCCGAGGTACATTATCGTTTTGATTTTGTACTTGAGGTGAGTCAGCTATTGCTCCCTCACTGTATTTAGTAGCTTTGAGATTACCTTCTCTGTAGTGTGAAACACACTGGATTAGGTAAGTACATGGCACCGTAGTTTTCTTTTAAGTTGCTAGAGCTAGCTGGACTGTTTTAGCCTTGCAGTAGAAAAAGAGTGTGCGACATACGCAATCAGCTAGGAGTGGACATGAATCTTGTGCCTGCTGAAAAGTAGAGCCTACCTGTACAGGGTTCCACTCCAACAGCCGATATAGTGTGTCCATACTTGACTGCTTCAAGGCTCAAAGAGCAAGAGGATAAGACTCTGCGCATAAAAGACACTAGCGGTCTGCACCTCTACCGTGTACGCCCTAGTCACTCTTTCACCCCCAACCCCCCCCCCACCCCCCCCCCCCCCCCCCGCATCTCCGACACCCGCGCCTGCCACGAAATCAATATTTTAAGGTGAACTCCCCGGGGCATAAACTTCTAACCAATCATATATGCCTCATGTGCTGGTTCTCTTTATCTTTACTGTTTCTCTGCTAACGTAGGATTTTCTCTAACACCTACACTATTCCAATCTATTTTGCCAGCTACGACAGCTCCCAAATTAGTCTAATCAGCTAGCAATATATATAAAGCCTGCACTATTCCAATGTATTTGGCTAGCTACGGCACCTGTGTCTCGGCTAAGGACAAGAAATTGCTGTAATTAGCTCGGTACTAATAAGAAACCTGCTCTAGTCCAATGTTTTTGAAAAAAAACCGAAAAAATGAAAACATCACAAATTAAACGTGCACCCTGTGGAATCGGAACACATATAAGTGTATAAAACAGAGACATGATCCCGTGGTGCTGCCGCAAGCTCCAATGATGCTCCGATACTCGTAGGGGTAGGATAGCTAACCAAAATGCTCCGAACTTTCAACAATCCTAGAGAACCCAGGAGAATTCATTTCAATAGCCTCAAAGGGGCTTTAAATCGCTGAGTAGTAGAAGCACATGAGACCTGCAATGCAACAGGACAAGAAAGAGCAACTCAGGTGGCAATTGGATTGAAAGTGGGTTCTGCAGTGGGCGTCTCTTGTGCAGCAAGGTCAAGTGCAATTGTGTGTTGATTTCCGCTTCCCGAATGATGTTTGCGCTAATGCCCCCTGCTACTACACAGTGTCAAGCAGGGAAGTGAACCAACATGGGGTGAAGGCGGCGAAGGCCCAAATGTTGCCATCTAGCTATGGCAGCAACTGTGGCGTGCGTAGACATGTTGTTGATGGGACGGTGGACCGTGATAGGCTGACCCCTTTGTTGCATCCAAACATGTGTGAAGATCAGTGCACTTGTGTGTTAAAGCTTCAGGTTGCATATGGTTTCTTCCATGGCTTGGTGTCAAACTCGGTGATAAGCAGAGATATGCATATGAAGCATACTCAGTGATAAGCACAGACCACGTCACAGACCGTTTCGTTCAAGGCAGTTGTTGATCCAGAGAACCATGGCTTTCGAAGTGCCTTTTGGGCTGGGCCTCATGGCGGCACTTGGCAACGTATGATGTGCAGAGTATGAGCAAATGGATGCCAATGATATCAAAACGGTCATTTTTGTTCTAGGATCATTATGATTCAAAGTAATTCGATAATTCACACGTGAAGTTATAGTTTTCTATTTGTACCTGAAAGACACCCTGTTGAACACCAATGACATCCGCTGCTTTGGACCCACCTAGCCTGACGGGCTTCTCGAGCACTCCTCCCTGCCGCATCTACGGCAACCAAAGTTTCTTGGCTTCAGAGTCAAAGGGTTCGCAACGCCGCGCCATAAATGATAGGGTAGCAAGTTGTAGCGAGCTGAACCTTCCGTAAATGAAGCTTATTTGCTTTGTCATGACATTTCATGACGGTCTTCAGATTTCCTTGACGGTATCCAGATTCAAGTTCAGAGCGCTTCCCAGGAGTTGCGTGGCCTGGTCAGCCAAAAGAACTTTAGCGGCGAGGTGACCGAGATGCGACTGTTTTGAGTTTTGCCCACCAAGCGCGCTCTTTGGATATCCTCCCTCGCGCCTAGGTGATTTCTGAGGGTGGCGATTATGGTGTTCTCCGTGTACAGACCAACACTGCCACAAAAAGCTTAAGAGCGCAGTTGGAACACACACAGAGTTGATTCTGACGTGTTCCATCCATGATCCTCGACAATGTTTCTTAGACGGAGGTCTATTGGAGTGGCATAGCAAAGCTCTACCGGGATGCCCATTTGCGAGCTAGCTTAGCGCTATATAGTTGCTCCTCAGAGAAACATCGTCCTCACATGTTTGCACTCCAAGGTCTTGCCCCTGCCTATTCCTGCCAAAGGCTGCAGCACAGAGGATTTTTAGACAGGTCGGCAATTTGCGCAAGCCAAGCTGGCTGAGCTGTTCACCTGTTTTGCTGGCAGGTTTTGGATGCAGAACCAGAAGCTTTGGAGGCCTTGGCCAGGGTTTGCCATCTGGTGAAACCTTGCGCAGCACTTTGTTGCCCAAACTCCAGGCAAGTGTGACACTGCACTCCCTGCGCGTGTTAAGATCCTTGACAGCGCAATCTAATCGAGAGTTTCCCAGAAAGAGTTTTGATGTACAGAGTGAGGCTAGACGAGACGGTTGTATATAATTATATAATTGTAGACTATGCGGACTTGTCGAATCTCCACCATTTTTGTCGACCTACTTCACTTTGCCAGACATGCAAAGATTCTTCACATGGAAGTGCCAAATTTGTCTGGGACTCACTTGCTTCAAGCCCAAAATATATTCACTGCGTGCAAGTGCCGAATGCGAATGGTCAGAGGGGCAACTGCCTTGCGAACTTACATGTGTGCACATAGGCAAGAGTCTGAAGACACCAGCTGGCAAGACTACGGCTTGAGCTTGCATCGCGCTAAGTTTAAGAATCAGTAGTCATGCAAGGGATTCTCCAAGGTGCAATGCTTGTTCCGGAACCAGCTGCATGGCAGAGCATAGTAGGATGCGGCGGAACTCTATCTTGTCAGCTTTGGCGGACATCCATTTCAATCGGAATTATTTTGAGTTATGTGTAGTACACAACATTTGTGATGCTCTTGATCTGCAATGTCTCGGCCCATGTCGGTGCCAATGTGGTGCCTTGTAACCCAGAATTTGCTTGGTTTAGAGAGTGAGAGAGGAGGGATAGAGCAGTGCCAGACATGTGTAGATGGCGCAACTTGGCAAGATTGTTCTCTTTGAGAGTGTGACGTTGTGGAGGCCCGTGTTTTAGAGAGTTTTTTGCAATTTGTAGCAAAGATCTTAGACAATTGAGTACAGCGCTATAATATCAAATAGCATCATATGACAAGTTTAATTCCTTATACCCATCTCAAAGGCAATACTGTATCTCAAAAGAAATCTGATTGAGACTTCTGATTCTTGAACACCCCCTATCAGTTTGGTCATACTTTTTCCTGCGATACTAATTGCCTGTCAAAAGAAACTTCTGGCAATTTCCCAAACTGAGGAGCCCCTAAGGTTCGGCTAAACTTACTCACCAAATTGTCGTGCAATATTGAAATTGATCACCTCTCTTTCCTTTCTTCACTCTCTTACACATTTCACCAATCCCTCATCCTATTAAACTGCAATGAACTCCTAAGAAACCTTTTGCTCACGCTGGCTCATTGTTGGCTCATCCCTTTGGCAAGTTGCCCTATCAATGAGACTCATTGGACAATGGTGTTGCATATGTTGAACTTTGGCCAGCCAATGCAATGTGTCTTCCCAAATTCCCTTCCTTCCTCATCATCTAATACTTCAGAACTCATTCTTGGGCCTCATTGACAACCTTATGGGCCATTTCCTCCAGCTTGTTTAGCTCAGGGCCCTTCTCCAACCTCCTCTTGGCAATCTTTGCGATCTCTGTGCTGGATTGGCGGTGTTGCTCGGGCTACGGGGTTCCCCCGACGCACTCGCGCGGTAAACACGGTAAAAAGCAAGTGTTTTTTTTTGTTTATACCTGCGGATACCTGCGGACTGTAAGATAGAATGCCATGTTGGACTTTCGGGCATGGACAAGTTTTGAACTTTTAATGTGGGATGGCGTTTTGGAGGCATTCTAACTGAAACCTGCATTTTTACAGGGTTTTTGAACTTGGGTCTTTGACATGTCTTAAAACAGATAAAACAGTGTTAACAATGTTTGTTGAACACTGTCCTTTTACTGGATGTATGCGTGTAAATACAATTTCCTGCCCTGATCCGGCTGCATTCAATGGCTTGAACTGACGATTTGCTAGGGAATTAGTTCTACTGCACAAAAGGATTATTTCCAAGAAGGTGTTGCTTCAAAAAACAACCAAGGGAGGGAGGAGAAACAATGACGCGCACATGCAACATTCTATTCTATCCTTTTCATTGTTCCATTTGCCTTTCCTCTTCCTCTTCCATCCGTTTCTTTTCCTCTTCCTTTTGTCTCTCCTTGTCCTGTCTCATTGTTCTGTTCCTTTCCTATTGTTTGCCTTTATTTGTTTCCTGTTACCTTTTTCTTGTCTTTTCTGTTCCACTTTTTATGTTTCTTGTTTTCCTTTTCTAGTTCCTTTCCCCTTCCTTCTCCTTTCTGCTGCCATGTCCCGGCCTTAACAATTGGTTCCTTTTCCTTGTTCCTCCTCCTTGTCGGATTCCTTTTGACTCTATCCTTTTCCTTTCTGCTTCCATATCTTGTTCTTTACCAAATATGTCCTGTTCCTTTTCCCTCTTCCTTGTCCTTTCCTTTTCTTTGCCTACTCTGTAAAGCTGTAGCAAACGCGCCCTTTTCTTTGGTTATTTTTGGGTGCATTCTCTGCATTCTATCTTCCAAGAAATCCTGGTGTTTACCTACAGTATTCACCATTTGTAAAAAATCACACTCTGGACATGGCATTCTATCTGTTAATAGCTCTTGACTAAAAAATCCTGGGACATAGCAAATCTTGAAAAAAGATGCGTTCTATCGTTTCTACCATTTCTTCATGTTCCTTGATCCTCTTTCTTGTCCTTTCCTTTTGTTTGTCTATTCTGTATGTTTGCAGTTTGCAGAATGCACACGCTGAACACATATACTGTTGGCAAATCTATGCATGCATACACACGCACTCACGGAGCCGACGGACTGTAAGAAGTACTTTTTGCATCTTTGTTCTTTTCCTGTCTCATTGTTCTTTTTCCTTTCCACTTTATTCTGTGTCCTGTCCTCTTTTCCTTTTCTGTTTCCTTTCTCGTTCCTTCTGCTTTCTACTACCATGTCCCGGTCTTAGCCATTGTTTCCTCTTCCTTGTCCTCTCTTTTTGCCTTTTTTTTTCCGTTTCCTGTCTCATGTTCTTTTTCTTTCCTATTCTTTGTGCCTTTATCCTTGTCCTGTTTCCTTTCCTATGTTTTTTCCTTTCTGCTTCCATGTCCTGTTCTTTACCATGTGCTTCCTGTTCCCTTTTTTTCCTCTTCCTTGTCCTTTCCTTTTGTTTGTCTATTCTGTAAAAACTGTGGCATTCAAAGTGTGCCCTTTTTCACCACATTGACGCATGGGGTTTTTGTTTTTAGTGTGGTATCCGCTCCTCCTTCCTCCTCCTCCCGCCTCCCGCTTGCCACCAACCAATTGCCACCCACCAATTGCCACCCGCCAATTGCCACCCACCAATTGCCACCCACCAATTGCTACCCACCAATTGCCACCCACAAATTGCCACCAACCAACTGTCACCAACCAAGTGTCATCAACCAAACTGCCACCAACCAATTGCCACCAACCAATTGCCACCAGCCAACTGCCACCCACCAATTGTCACCAACCAATTGCCACCAACAAATTTCCACCAACCAATTGTCACCAACCAATTGCCACCCACCAAGTGCTACCAACCAATTACCACTATGATGCCACTATGTTCTCTAGGGGGTCGGATGCATTGCGTGGCAGGCACTGTGATTTGTATACAATATAGATACTGTATATCATTTTTTTTGATCGGATAGGTATCTATATATTTCATACAATATGTGCGGTGCCATTTTTATTTGTTGTACTTGTGTTTCCTATATTTTTTTTTACAAGATTAGCGCGGTCAAATATTTTTTTATGTTCTTGTTTCCGAGTGGTTTGCCTGTTTTTGCAGACCATGAGTTCTTTTTGGACGGTCTTACTCGGATGTTTTTTTGGGAGTGCATTTTTTCAAATTGCTTCTTTTTGGCGTTCGGCAACATTTATTCAAGACGCTTCGCGTCGACAGCCGCCCACACCGCGCACGAACAGCCGAAGTTAGTGAAATGGAAGTAGCCATCCAGGCGCCAGGTTGGGGACAAGTGCAGCCATCTAGGCGCCAGGTTGGCTGTCTTACGGCTGCGTTGGAGCCATCTTGGGGCCAACTTCGTCTACCTTGGCGCCCATAATGGTGATATAACTTCGGCCTGGCCCTGCCAAAAGCCATCCAAAAATACACCTCCAAAACGCTCTCCCCAGTGGCCCTGCAAGCACGACGTAACGAAAGATCATCCAAAAATGTACCTCCAAAACGCTCTCCCCAGTGGCCCTGCAGCTCAACCATAGCCACGCACTACGGCTGCGTTGGAGCCATCTTGGGGCTACCTTGGAGCCCAGAATGGTGATACAACTTTGGCATTGCCAAAAGCCATCCAAAAATACATCTCCAAAGCGCTCTCCCCAGTGGCCCTGCAGGCCGAGCAAGAACCAACGCAGCAACCACACCAAAAAAACAAAAGCTCCTCCAGTAACGAAAAATCATCCAAACATGTACCTCCAAAACGCTCTCCCCAGTGGCCCTGCAGCCCAACCATACAAAAAAAAGGACCTTAGCAAAGCTATTTGCATAGCAGCAGAGCTTGAGAGCCCCATAGCACGCCCTGCACCGACAAACGGTGTGGGCAGATTTTCTAACCACGGGGTACCTCGGCTTAGTCCTGGACATGTTTATTGATTGTGTTTTTGTAAGGTGCGGCCTGAATTGTTACGCTAAAACGGCTATATGTTAAGGTTTCCTACTTTCGGGACTTTCGGGAAATTTCTTGCTTTAAGTCTAAAGCCTTTTGTTTAGGGAGGGTTCCTGTAGCTTGCTTTAAACCCAACCCCGAGGCACCCGCGCGGTAAAAACAGTAAACATCGGCGTTCTTTTTTCCGGGGGTCGCCTTGATTTTCGGGGTCGCCTTGATTTGTTTAAACACCCGCGCGGTAAGAACGGTGAACATCGAATTTGTTCCTTTCTTTTACCGTTTTTCCTGGGGCCGGCGCGGTAAAAAACGGTAAACATTAACTTGTCATTATGTTTACCGTTTTTAACAGCGGGGTCAGCGGGGTCGCAGGTTGCCCTTCCGCGCGGTAAAAACAACAAAACTCGAAATATATTTTTTTTAACGTTTTTACCGCGCGGGCGCGAAAGGGCATGCACCCCTTAGCAAAACGACGCACGCGAACCGGCTTAGGTCATTTTGATCCTCTCATTTTGCAGTTTTTGGGTTGCCTTCAGGATTTTATCGTCATGCTCCTTCCTTTGCTTCATCCTTCATCCCGGTTTCTTTCGCATTTTGCAATGCTTTGGCTAATTTGCTCAATCTTGTCAGCCAATTCCCTCCAATGCCACCATCTCCTCCTCCGGGTTTGACAAAGCCACATTGATTGCTCCCACTCCCCTGCCTAGTGGCAACATTCTTCCTGTTGGGTGATGGGAAATTGGGCACAGACTCACCTATCAGTCCCCATTGTAGCAAATCACCCAATATGATCAGATCTCAATGATCTCAATCGCTGATTTGCAAGTCTCAGATTCCTTACTCAAGAAGAGCACACTACCTACTCCATTGATTTGCAGCAACAGATGGATGCCCAGTATCTGTTCTGCACGGCCAATATCATCGAGCTCCTCGCCATGCTGATCATGCAAGAGATCTCGTTGTCAATGCCAGGAATTTCGGTATTAACGCCAATTAACTCCTGAAATGGACCAATTTGCTTGTCGTTTGCCGTCAGTCCTCCATCAAGCAATAGTTTATGCTTCATGAACTTTGAGTGGGTCTTCTAATTCTAAGGCCATCACCTTCTTCACACATTTAGGTGCCCATTGTTCCTGATTGTTTTCCTTTGCCTGCCCATTTGCCCCGCATAGTGGTGCACACCCCATAGCTGGACCAAATTGAAATAAATGGGGAGGTTCTTAATTGTGAATACCATTGCTCATGAACTTCAAAATCGATTCCCTCATGAATTTGAAAAATTACTGTAATGAACCTGGATCCTATGGTTTCTATCCCTCCTGGAATCCCCTAGGGTCCCGCCCATGTCTTTTTGTACGTTCTTTTCACGGAAAGGCCCATAGGGCAGCTCATGCTTGAGGTTCCACAAAGATTGTAAAACACATGTTCTATTGTTTTTTTTGTTCAACAGTATGTCCTTATTTTCAGTCCTGCCTTTGATCGTGAAGATGGCTGCACACGAAGTTCCAGATTTAGCGCTTCTTTTTGAGTTGACTAAGTGGCCCTTACTTAACTGAGTAGCCTTACTTAGCTAAGTAGCCTTGGCCCGCTCGAGGGGGTCGCCAACAAACAACTATAAAGCAACTTCTATTTTCGCTCCCCCTCTCGAAATATAAAGACCCCTCTTGTGAAATTATCATGTCTTTTACTTTTAGGTCTTTTTCCTTTAACATTATTTCTTTGGATATTTTTTAAACACACAATACGCTTTTTGAATAGCATATTACTTAACAGCTTTTGGACATTGAAAAACACACGTGGAAAAACTGAGGCCTCCAGAGCGTCCCTTTCTGTTCTGTTTGCAGTCCATTCCGTTCTCTGTTAAATTAGTGGAACTTCACTCACTTTCTCTTGCAGTGGCACTTTCAACGCTTTGTGAGGCAATGCCAGCCGAACCTTTGCTCTTCCATTTGCATTGGTCCTTTTGGTGAGGCCGGACCACCCTGCATCGAGCAGCCTTGCCAGTTTGTTTGCTTAGGATTTGTAAAATATTTAGAGTTGGACTCGATCATCTTCTGATTGCTGGCCTAGACCTAGCTGGGATGCCTTCCTTACATCAGCTGCAGAGGTTCGCTTGAATTGCTCGGGGCGCTTCCAGCTTTGTAGCCTGCAGACCGAGATTGGTGCTCCAATGCGCCTTTGCAATCTGTGTCAGGTTCCCGACACTTCGAGGACTTCCTGACATGTCGTTTGTGAAGCCATTGCCACAAAATCCAGGTCAGAGAGGAACAGAATCGTGAATCGTGATTCAGCAGGCGTCATGCAGTTGGACTAGCTACGCTGGTTGCCCTTCGCACAGAGCCTGCGAAGGCAGCAGGAGAGTCAAGATTCAAGAATGTACAGAATGCAAGAAAAAGGAGCTCATATCATTAGTCTTAGTGGATGTGACTGATGAATGCCTGCAGACCATTTGAGTGCTTTCGACTGTGCTGTTTTGCTTTTCTTGTTTTCTGGTTTGTTCTGCCTTCTGTCGCCTGGCAAAGCATGGCTCTGCTTTGAAGGAGCTGCAACTCAGATCTTGGCTAGCAAAGATGCTCTGGACAAGCTGAGAGCAGACGAATGCTGGACCAGACGCCGATTTGCAAAGGTACAGTCGACTAGAGAATGACAGAGACCTTCAAACAGCAAGTCAGTTTTGCTGATACTGTACAGTCCAGCGATTAATTGACATTCGCCCTGTAGCCCCACCAAGGAGTTGATTGCAATGGTGATGACATTCGGCGAGTAGCAGGAACAGTTGGAACTGTTTCGCCACTCTTCAAAATCAAGGAGAGGCAAAACCAACATAGAAAGGGTGTATTTAGGTGCCGGGTTGAGATAGAAGGTAAGAACAGCCGACTGGTCGAAAAAAGAACTTTGCAGGCTGATGGCTGATGCATGCTGATGCTTCTTTGTTTGGCAGACATGTGAAGGATGCTTTGATGGAGGTCTACATGGAAGAGCCTTCAGGAGTCCCTGAGCTGGAGGAGATGAAACAAATCTATGCAGCTGTCCAGCTGGTCTTTGCAGGTCTTTACCTAGCTCAAACTCTAGAATTCTTGTTGACTGAAGCAGCGTAGAGCAGTTGCATGAAGTTGTTCCAGTTCGAGGCCTTCAATGTCGTTTTGCGTCGGAGGTGGAGGGGCATCGGGCAACTTGCCAAGTGCAGATTTCGTTACTAGCGCAGCACTTGTGCGATCTTCTTGATCACTGGATAGCTTGGACTTTGTGGCAGGCACAGGGCATTACCAACTTCTTAAGCAGCTGCTCACATTTGGTGGCAGTCTCGCAAGAGCTTTTTCACAGACTTGAAGTTGTTCCGAAGAAGACTCTGCGTGCAAAATGCTTTTCGAAGATGCCTGCAAGCCAAAGTGAAAATGAGTCTTGAGGATGTCTTGGAGTGGACTTCGCTGCTGCCGCTTTTGCTGTTGCTATTCCTGCTGCTGCTCCTGAAGCTGCTACTTGTACATACATTATTGTTGCTGCTGCCCTCTCAACAACAGGTGCTTCCAAAGTTGCAGTTGCAAGCTCTCACACCGTTGTGAACTCGAGATCTCCGAATCTAATTCTCCAGAGGCTTTGATTGTTACTACAATCTCCGATGCAATTGTGCTTGAACCTACAACATCCTACCTGCTGAACACGAATGAATCATTTTGGATCAGCTGTTTGGAGTGTCTTGGCACGTTCCCCCGCAGGATGTGCTCCAACACCTATCTCAACTTGATTACCAGGCTTGCAGCTTGATCTCACCAGCTGTAGAATTCTGTAGATTTGAATTACCTGCGAGCAAAACGAAAGGGAAACAATTGCAAATCCGCGAATTCACCAGTACCAGTGTCAGGCGTATTGCACCATCTTCGCAATCAATGGTGGCCCTGAGAGCTTCAGAAAGTGTGGGCCCCTGTTGTGCCAGGGAAATTTTGCTTGAGGTGACCGTGTTCTTTCTTCTCAAACGTATTCACGCGCTGAAACTGCGCCCTCAGGTTCATGGCGCAAGCATCTGCAGCGCTGGACGTATGTGTGAAGGACTTTACAGCTTTGGCCAAGGCTTGACGATGCACACGGGTCCCAGTTCCCTATCCTTCCAGGTCCCGATTCGCCAAGATCTCAAGATTATCCCAGATTGCTAGGTTGTTTCAGCCTGAAGATGGACTGAGCCATGGTGAAGCTGGAAACTCGTTTCACACTTCGTAAGTGCCAGATTCCTGGCAGACAACTTTTGGATTGAGATGAATGGGACAGTGGTTGGTTCGACTGCCAACGCAGAAAACAAGTACGCCGCTTCCGATGCCAGGTTGGGTTGTGTAGTGTAGGTTGGGTATATTTTGGGTTACTTGCCCGTCTAAGGTATGGCTTTGTGCGATATTTGCTTCGCATTGCTTTGCATAGAGAGGACGGGGATCTGCAGGAACATGCTGGAACAATTGCTAGACGACGAAGGACATGGACGGACAACTTACAGTCTTCAATCAGTGTTCTAGATTCGACAGGACATGGCACAGCAAACTGGTGCGACTGCAGTTTCTTTGACGAGGCCGTGCATGGTATAAATATTATGAATTATTTATTATGATTATTATGTAGAGGTATAATAGCCTATACTAGAAATTATTCTATAAACACAAACACGTTGCTTGGACAGTCTGTGTCATGCGCTGTGCCTCTGTTGGTGACTGGACGGGTGATTGGGCTCAGCTGTTTGGATGCAGGTCATTGAGGGAGCTTTTTGGAAGCCATTTGCAAAAAGTGCAGCCCAGTACTCAGTGAACTTAGCAAGAAGTACATCAGAGTTGAATCACGGATTCCCCCGTGCGTGCAATGCTCAGGCTCAATGCCAAACAGGATCAGTTTACCCTGTCAGCGCGGATTGTGGAAGCAAATTTCTAAGTCCTGGATCGCAGACTTGCATACCCAAACAAGTCTATTTCTTTCCACATCTCAGCAGTGATTTCTTGCCAGACCATTTGCTTTTTGTAGGTTCATCAGCTCCAGCTCAGTTGGGAACCATTCTTGCGCGCGGTCTTTGCTTTGTTGCGTGGCTAATATGGACACATCAATGCCCTAGCAGCGCTAGCACAAACATGTATCTAGAAACCCTTGAAGAAAGCAATTGGAAAGGGAAAGTGCAGAGTTTGAGAATTTAGAGCCTGTAAGGTCATCGGTCTAATAGAAAAGATACACCGTGAAATCGCAGTTGCTTCCCACTCTTGGTTCTAGCATGTTCTAGCTTCATTTTCCGCAGTATGCCAACAGCAGTGCACACTTTTGTTATATACTGTAACATATTATTATACTATATGTAACTACGCCCCCGTGTTTAAAGACGTAGGGGAGTCAAGAGAAAGTTTTCTCCGCAGCACTGGCTCAGCATATGTGGGGCCATCCACGGGGCTGCACGTGCACGCTGTGCACGTCCGTGGAGCGGCTCCATCGGGTGCTCAGCCTGGCTCGCAACACCCCGGCCTTCGTGGACTTTGCGACGGTCAGGGTGCGCAACGTGATCGGCGAGCTCAGTGACTTTCTAGAGTCACATCCTGGGGAACGGGAGGACCTGGCACGTCCTCCTCCCCAAGTCGGAAGTCGAGAGGCAGGAGGAGGAGATCAAGAAGCGGGCCAAGGAGAGCCTGAGCACGAGAAGAAGAAGCAGGCAGAAGAGAAAGAAGCCCAACCAAGTGAGAAGGCAGGAGAGGCAGAGAATTCCATTCCAGGCAGTGCGGGAGATCGACATCCAGGAGGAGTTGCAGTGAAGCAAGAAGAGGACGAAGAGGAATCGGCGGAGAAACAGTCAAAGGATTCGACTGCGAAAAGCAAGGCAATTCGTGAGGAGGTCAGCGAGGCAAAACATCGTCCTGAGGAGGTTGAAGTGGCGACAGAGCCTGAGGCCAGCGGCGAGGGCGACGAGGAGAACAAAGAGAGCCACGGTGTAAGGGAGGTAGTGCCAGAATCTCCTCACCGCAGACGAAGACGGAGGAAGAGGAGTGAAGCGAGTCGTACAAGGTCGCCAAAGGTCCGGAGGAGAGGTGAAAGTTCCCATCGACGTCGGAGGAGAGCAGCCAGCAAGTCGGAGAAGCGAGTACCCAGGCCTACACACGCCCCAGAGGGGAGGGTGGAGCATCGGGAGGTCAGACGACCAAGGTTTGCCTCGAATCCCCCTCCTGGGTTCACTGGCCAAACCATCTTGGTGCCTGCTCGACCTGTCTACCGAGGCCCTCCTGATAGCCCTGAGTATCGGCCATACGAAGGAGCGAAGAACAAGGGGAAGAAGAAGGTTGAGACTCAGCGATACTTCAAGGACTACGTGGCAGAGCGGAGGGCTGAGAAGCGGAAGGCCCGAGAAGAGAGAGAGGGGCATTGGTAGAAGAAGGGTGGATGCCTCCTAGACCGCGGCGACGGCCTGCCGCTGAAGGGAGACATCGAGGAGAACGAGATCGAGGAGAAGCTGACGGAGAAGGTGGTCGCGAAGGAGCTTTGAGAAGAAGGCCTGCACCTGCCGAGGAGAGAGTCTCGGGATTTGAGGCTGGAGAGGAGGTTGCTGCTCATCAGATCCCAGTGGGAGTATGGAAGCCAGGGCTTCGACTCCTGGGAACGGGCACTACTTCAATCGCGAGATCAACGTAGCAGTGGAGGTGGATGCCCTGAGATTTCATGGAGGAGCACTCGAAGTTATGACCTGGGTGACCGGCACCGAGGACGAGGGACTTCTCAGGTGGTCGACCGGCAATGCAGGGACTCCATTGAGATGTCATGTATGCCTGGAAGGCTGTGGCAACATCCCGGAAGGGGACGACATCCTGCACCTCAAGAAAGTGAAACATCGGGGAGCCGACAGCCCCCCTTGGGTCGACAACCTCAAGGAGCCGACTGGAATGGAGGAGCTGCGGCGTTTGGCAGCGAGGTCGGATGCCCTGGCACGAGGAGTGGAAGAAGTGAAGGAGCCCGAGAAGGTGATGAAAGAGGCGCAGGGGCGCCAAGAAGTGAAGAGCTCCAGTGGATCCAGTGGAGGTCGCAAAAAGAAGAAGAAGAAATCGTTCAAACCAAGTGGAAAGAAAGATCATGCGGCGCTATACAAAGGGACGGGGCTCGACCAGGATGCCCGCATCAGAAAGAAGATCTCTCGGTTGGCAAGACGCGCCATGAAGAAGAAGTCGAAGAGTTCAAGCACGACCGGGACGAGCTCACCTTCGGAAGCAGAAGAAGGAATGGAGGACCTCTTCCAAGAAAGTCAGAGGACGCAGTTGGCATCCAAAGCAGGGCCAGGAGCATTGGCTTATCACGCCATTCGTCAAATGCGGAAGCAAATGCTGCAGGTGCAAGGGCAAGAGGGCTTGGAGATGAGTCCCGTGGGAGCTGTAGGGCTGCAATTCTACAGGCAGATCCTGCGGCCCAAGATGACTCCGGTGATGGCCCGCGAGGCCTTGAACATCTCGGCGGCGCTGGACGCGCTCCTGAGCTGCCAGTCGGCTCATGCCGCGGATGTCTTGGTCCAGAGACTCAAGGCACTGGAAAGCATGGCGAGTGGCTCGTCATGGCAGATGTCCCAGCGCTTCAAGATCGTGCCCATGGACTTGGGGAGCTTGGCATCGCAAGCGGAGGCAACAGCTGTGGCGAGGGAGAACAGAGAGGAGCAGAAAAGCCGCCAACTCCAGAAGGGAAGCTGGGAGTCCAGCTCCTGGAAGGGCGGGAAAAGCGACCAGAAGGGCGACAAAGGAAAAGGGAAGACCAAGGGCAAAGATGGGAAGTCCAAAGGAGGAGACAAAGATCGCGCTCGCGGAGACAAAGCCGACAAATGAATGGCCTTGCAGAGGATGAGATCTCAGAAGAGTTGAAGAGAGTGAGAAAAGGAATGGATGAAAGAAAGCCTGCCGAAGCCTGCGAGAAAGAGGAAATGACTTGGGACACGCAATATGAGCCTGAGTTGAAGACCACATCGATGACTATGTGGACACGTACAGAAGGGGAAAACGATGGTGCCAGCTCGTTGGTTCCGCCCCCTTTACCGTCCGAGAAGGATGCTGAAAAAAGAGCGGCGCTGGAGTGTGGGACGTTCGACTCGTTCGTTGAGGGGTGGGTTCATGACTTGTCACTTTTCAAGCTTTGCAAGGTCAAGACCATGGGAAACCTTTTGCCTTTCCCTGTTGACTCGATCATGGGGCACCCTTCTTTTTCGGGCGAAGATCGACGTGTGCTGCAAGTGTTGAGAGGTATTTGTTGTGGACTCAATTCACTTTATGGCAGTGACCCGGACAAGACGCTTAAGGTGTCAGCCGCTCATATCAAAAGTTGCATGTTTTTGATGGATGAGGCGAAAAATTTTGTGAGAAGATGTCCTGCCCTCCCTGCCCTAAGTTGGGAGGATTATCTATCGGTGCGAACTTTAGACTACAAAGGTGACGAGGTGAAGGTGGCTCAAGCGACTTCATGGAAGAATGTGCAACCGGCCTTGCCTGACAAAGTGGGAACAGTGCCATTGGAGAGCGTGGTGACCAAAGGATCACTGCACTACACCTTGAACTTTGGCACTTACCTTTTGCCTGAACATGAGCAGGTTTATACCAAACCCCCAAAAATCATGGTAGCAGAAGGCGCATGGGAGGACCTGTGCAAGGGACTCCTTGCTTCCAGAGTGTGTGGGCTCATCAGGGAGGCGGACATTCACCTGGTGCAGGGTAGGCGGTTGTTCAACGGACTGTTTGGAGTCCCCAAGAACGACGTGGTTGGTGGCGTGCCAGTTCACCGCCTGATCATGAATCTGGTACCACTCAACCGAATTTGTCGCTCAATGAACGGAGACGTTAGCACACTACCAGCATGGCCCTCGATGAACCCCTTTGAACTGAAGGACGGTGAAACCTTGTTGATGAGCTCTGAAGATGTTCGCTGTTTCTTTTATATTTTCACTGTTCCAAAGGAGTGGCACTCCTACCTGGCCTTTGGACGACAAGTTCCGCAAAGCATGTGGCCTGACCAAGAGGGACCCTACTACCTTTGTAGTCAAGTGCTACCCATGGGGTTTTGTAACTCGGTCTCTTTGGCCCAACACATCCACCGGTTTATCGTCGCAGAGGCGGTCAAGGAGTGCGTCCAGCGGGGTGGCAGGGCAGGCTGGGAGGCAGAGCACCCAAAGGATAGGCCTTTCACCTGGAGCAACCCGTCGTTCCGCGTGTACTTGGATAACTTCGATCTCCTGGAGAAGACTGACAGTCAGTTGGCTACAACTATCCAGGGAACTTGTTCTCCTTTTGTTGAGGCGTTGCGGGAGGCTTATGCTAGGCATCAGGTACCTAGGCACCCCAAGAAAACTGTGGCCAGGGCCATTAACGCTGAAATTCAGGGCGCTGAAGTTGATGGTGAGACGGGAATGGCAGCCCCAAAGGCTGACAAGATTGGCAAGTACGTCAGGCTCTGTCAGTTGTTATTGTCCACAGGTGTGTGCACTCAGCGTCAAATGCAGGTAGTGGCAGGTGGCTTCGTCTACTTTTCTACCTTCCGGCGACCCTTGCTGGGGGCACTCAACCACGTCTGGCAGTTCATTCAGGGGTTTGAGACTGGCCGCTATCAGCAAAAGATCCCCGACGGAGTGCGCCTTGAGCTGAGTCGTTTCTGCTTGTTGATCCCTTTGGCACGGATGAATTTTCGGCTTGCTTTGTCGGCAACAGTGACGGCCTCGGATGCCTCCACTACCGGAGGCGGAGTGACAGCGTCGTGCGGAGTTAGCCAGGTCGGAGCCATCGCCGCGAATCTGCATGTGCGTGGGGACATTACGGAGCTTGAAGACGTTGACACCGTGTTGACCGTTGGGTTGTTTGATGGCATTGGTGCTTTGAGGGTTGCGGCAGACGCCGTAGGACTCACAGTCATTGGTCATGTGTCCGTGGAGTGCCACCCGCCCGCGCGTCGTGTTGTCGAAAGCAGGTTCCCGCATACATTGTTCATCAATTCCGTGGAGGAGGTCAGCGATGAGGTGGTCAGATCTTGGGCGTGCCAGTTTAGCCAGGTCAGTGTGGTGCTGCTGGGCGCAGGGCCGCCATGT